GGTGCACCAGAAACTATTCAGGAAAGACTTGTTGATGTACCAGCATTCTATGTGAAGACTTACAAAAAAAACACACGTCAAGGTTCTCGTGTCCTAGCTTTGGCCTACAAGTCTCTTCCAGAGATGACAGTAAGAATGTTCTGTTGGAACACTTTATCTTTACAATGTTCATCTCTTCTACCATGTCATAAACACTGTTAATGTTAAATCTAACATACATGTAGATAACGGCAATTTGTCTCTAAGAAACAGTTATGGGAACAACTCTATACCAGTATCTTATATTTATTTTGGTTTCTTCAATTTTCACCTGGACTTGTTTCTACCAATTAATACTGCATCATTAGATGGATTGGTAAAGAGCAATATCCTTCGTGGTACTGGATTGTTCCTTTTGAATTTTATATGACCACAACTATGAACAGACCCTTTGTGTAGTCACTCATCCTGCTTGGGCGTGTTTGGTAGGAGGGAAGTTGGGTGGAAAGAAAAGGCAGAGTGGGAAGTGTAGTGGGAAGTTGGATAGGAGGGAATATAGAATGGGGTGGAAAGAGAATCTCTTCCTTAGTCGAGTTACTTGTAACAAATTTTTAATCACATATTTAAAACTTCTTATTATAATCTAAGGGGAGGGACAATAGTTTTCCCTACAAGGGTACAATTGGACTTCCAACCATTCTTCCCGTTTCGACTTAAAGGTTACTGTAATGTTTTGTAACAGTCCTTTCAAAAAAATGTTTTGTAACAGTCAATTAAAATACTGTTGTATATTATCTGCTTAAACATCTTGTATACATCCATGTGACCTTGTTCAGAAATCTTTGTGATTTAAAGTTATCAGTACAATGAGTTGTGTTATTACAGATGTCTTATGTTTGTATAATTTGCAAGTCCTGCTTTCTTTGTAATCAGGCATGGCCTCAATTGTATAATATTCTATGGGATGACATCCAGAGATCTACAATTTTTTTATTTTTCACACTTGACAAATGTGGATGCCTAATTATTCGTATATGCAGTATATTCTGCATATTCCTCTGTAAACATGTTCCTTGTCTATGACACTATATGTACAAAATTATTTCTTTATCTATTAACTGATATGTGATAGGGTCACAGGGATTGATTTCTTAGCTGTGTATCTTCATTTTTCCCGGTAATTGTTTCATTTATGCCTGTTTAAGCTGACACCAATTATGTCAACTGTTTGAAGGTTAGTGAAGCTAGAAGCTTAGAGAGAGAGGTGGTGGAAAGTGGTCTTACTTTTGCTGGTTTTGCGGTAAAAGATCTAACTCAAAGAATGCAATTTTTGGGGAATACCCAAAAGTTGGAGATATCATTAATATTATCTCTTCTTTCTTGTTATACTTTTGTTACTTTGTGATGCTCTTCATGCATGGTTCAGGTATTCAATTGTCCTATCAGAGGAGATTCAGCAACTATTCTATCTGAATTAAAAGGATCATCACATGACTTGGTGAGTTTGATATTCTTTCAAGTAATTTTATTATGTGCTTCTATCATCCAAAGTATTCCTCGTATGTTTGCCTCAATTTCAATGGAAAAATAAGGAAATGCTGGAAAGGAAAAAGAAACAAACAATAAGCACATTTTACAGTTGGAAGTATAAAAATAAGAGGATCTTCCAAGTAATCTACATGGTTTAAAATAAGGAGATGCTAAGAAAGAAAAAGAAAGACAGAGAATGTGTACCTCATGTTTTTTGATTATATGTTCCAAATTTCGCCGAGGATCATTTTCGTAAAAATATGAGCATTTCCATTATTTGCTTGTGGGTTCATTCCCTTCTCTGGATGAATGCAGCAAGTGTTTGATTTTGCCTTTTTTTTTCCAAGGTCCCGATAACAGACAAATATGAGAAGCAATTTGATAAAACTGAAACAACCACTGTCAATGTTGTAAAACCTGAAATAAATAGGCTTGGTCTTTTGTCACTTGAATCATTATTTCAAACCAAACAAACTTAAAATGCAGTTTTAAGTGTTGTTGGAAATTTCAAGAATCCCGTGTACCCGTTCTATCCGCTAGTAGTGAGGGTGTGCTTGTTTGGCCTGCTGAAGCATCGGTGAAGTGTGTGGTGGGGGTGGGATCTGAAAGTTATCCTAGCTGGACATTCAATGTACAAATAACCTTTCCGTGTTTGCTCTGCTAATGCAATGCCAATCTGCCCAACTCCACACAATATTGGGGCTACAATTGTTACTAGAAATCATAAGATTAGTTAAATTTACTTGATGGTTCAATTAAAGGACTCTCTGCTAAATGCAGGAAATTAATTTTCAAAACTTCCAAGAGCACAATACAGACTTGCAGATTAATTTATGGAAAATCATTCTGGTAATTAAAATTGCAAGAATTCATGCTTTTAATGCAGTTATGCCAAATTTGGACTGCAAACTAAAAATAGGTTTAGCATCAGTCATTCAGAAAAACCAATATGAACTGTGGTAGTTGAGATTTTTCCCATCCATGCTGACCTTGGTGGCCGTTCAATATACTTACCTCAAAAGATGCTGAGAGTTGTGTCTATGTGCGAAGATCGGTCTTCTCAATAGAGTCTTTCATGCTGCTGAATTCCATGTTTTTTAATCTGTATATCTCAACCAAGAGTGTCCATGAGCGAGCTCGGGAGAGGCCGAACAATTACAACGCACTACACTAGGCATGGAATCGTCGTTCCTTTTATAGCTTAAGATTAGAATATTTCCTTGAATCCCACAATCTTTTAGAAAGTCAGGATCTTTCAGAAAACGGATTCCTATTCGAAGAGTGCATAACCGCATGGATAAGCTCACACTAACCCGTCAATTTGGGATCCATTCGATATTTTCCTTGGGAGGTATCGGGAAGGAATTGGAATGGAATAAGATCGATTCATATAGAAGAAAAGGTTCTCTATTGATTCAAACACTGTACCTATGGGATAGGGATAGAGGAAGAGGAAGAAAAATGAAATAGACTCAGAACTCTCCGTTGATACGACATGCTATTTTTTCCATTTAAATGCTATGTCAATTAGAGGAGAGTGGAGATTTATTAACCATCAATAACAATTTTTACAATGCAAATAAGAAAATTTGGTGTCTAGGATCCTTCTGCAGTATTTGTTTGTTTGACTTTTCCCGTGATGTTCATCATTCATCAGATGGCTATATCCAGACGTAGATGATGTTAATATTTGTCAGGTCATGATTACTGGAGATCAAGCTTTGACAGCTTGCCATGTTGCTGGCCAAGTTAATATTATTTCAAAACCAGCACTGATTCTCGGCAGTGGCAAGAACAGTGAAGAATATCAGTGGCTGTCTCCTGACGAGACAGATATTTTCAAGTACAGGTAAGAGCCCTTTCTGATTTTAAGATGCTACCATGAGTGTTAAAGTTGCTTTGGTATTGTTTACCATGTTCTTCAGTCAATTGGCTCTATTCTTGTACACATCTCCTTACAATTTCTTCTACCTCATTTTGCATCATCTGTGAGTCTGTTTTTGGCTTAGAGAAGTTTGCTTGATTGCTCATTCCTTCAACTGCCTTAAAACTGGGAAATCATCTTTTCTTCTTGGCTTCTTTCCCTTCAGCTGTTCCAAATATTAATTTTTGTTAACAGTGAAAATGAGGTTGAAGCTCTATCAGGGTCATATGATCTTTGTATTGGAGGCGACTGCATTGAAATGTTGCAGCAAACTACTGGTATTCTTAAAGTGATTCCATATGTAAAGGTTGTAACTCTCACTCTACTCACTTCACACACTTAGAGCTTGTTTGACTTCCATTATTGGTAGAAAAATGGAGTAAGGAATAATATTTTTTGGAGAATGTGTGGTTGAAATTTAAAGTAACTTTATTGGTTTGTGTGTGGAATATTTTATTGAGTGAATATGTGGTTGAGATTGTTTACTGTAGAAAACAATGTTTGTAAAAATGGTAGACAAACAGGGGCTTAGTACTCCATATTTTCTCATTCTCACAGAATTTATATAATCTCTCAGGTATTTGCTAGGGTGGCTCCTGAGCAAAAGGAACTCATCATGACCACTTTTAAATCGGTGGGAAGGGTTACACTAATGTGTGGTGATGGAACAAATGATGTTGGAGCTTTGAAGCAGGTATTACACGAATACAAGTCATAGTTTCACATGTTGGTTTCACGGTACAGTTTTCCTGCCTGAAAGTTTAGTTTATAATTTTTGTCCTGTAATTGCTGAAGCTTAGGTAAGTTTTGCATTCATTGTACAAATGGTAGAAAACAGGAGTTGTAACATCCTGGTTTGCTGTAGTCAGCTTCACGCTGTGCCTGATTGGCAAGTCTGCCGTCTCTGCGGCTCTCTCTTTTTCCGGCTGCTCTTCAAGCCTTCACTATTAGCCTAATAACGTGAACTGTTTGAAGATTACACAATAAAGGAGCTTATTATCGTAAAACCTCGATAAATAAGCCCTTGTTCGATTTTTATTTTTGGGGAAGTGATCTTGTGAATAGTGATTTTTGGAGATTGTGATTAAAAAGTAGGGAAAATTATGGATCCACGTGCAAAATTAATTTATTGGGATAATGTATGGTTGCAAATGAGTTTGAAGAAAAAGTGATTTTGAAAAAATAAAAATCAAACAAGGGCTAAATATTTGATAAATTAATAATATCACTTAAATAATAAAGTATCCCAGTCCCAACTCGGGCTAGTGTATTAAATTAATAATCTTGACAAAATGGATAAGATAATAATTTTATTTAAAATCTTTTAGGGCCCAATGAATATATAAAATAATAATTGAGTAAATACATAAAATTATATTTCAATTCTTTTTTTTTTTTTTTTGGTAAAATATGCATTTAAAGTTCCTTACTTTTTATTATAGAACTCAGCCTCATTCTTAATTTTATTTTTTTTTTGAAGAAAGTAATTATTTAAGATCACAATGATTGAAATGTTTCTTTTTGAAAAACATTTGGTAAACATAGCTATCATTTAAATCATGATCATCCTCGGTAGGCATATTTGGGATAATCTTTTCAGTATTATGCTATTCCATGATATTATTTTCACTACGATAATTCAAAAGGTGTTTGACATCCATCATATTTTTGTAGCATTAACCAAAAATCAAACATTCTATATTCATTTATCGATAATGAATAACCCCTCAAAAGTAATAATTTTTCTCCATTCCAATAATTTTTTTTTTAGAGGTATTACTGTAGTATAATGTTTTTATAATCTCTTCTTGTTAATACATTACCAAGATAAACTCGGGCATTATTCTTACCAATTTGCTTGAGTACTCCCTCCTTCCAAAGATAATGTTCCATTAGACTTTACTCTGGCCTATTAGACTTATTCTGGAGTAATTTTTTTAGCAATATATGGTCGCTACTTACTGAATCTATTTTCTCACTCCATGCTTGTGATGAAATTCAGATTCCTTTGGGTAACTCCTTCTCAATAGTTAGGACGGCTTCAAATAAATACTTATTTTGTATTTGTTTTCTTATCTGTAGCTTTTGTTTACTTAAATGCCCCAGTTAGAACAGTACATAATATTATTTATGTTTCCCAGGCACATATAGGTGTAGCTCTACTCAATGCAATACCCCCTGCTCAGAAGGAGAAATCTTCCTCTGAAGCACCCTCTAAAAATGATGCTGCAAAATCTGGTAAATCAAAGAAACTCAAATCCACAGTTGAAAATGGAGAGGGTCCTTCAAAGAGCAGAGCTGTTTCAAGGTCAGAATCTACTAGCAACCAACCTGTTAACCGCCATCTGACTGCTGCAGAGATGCAACGGGAAAAGCTGAAGAAACTCATGAACGAGCTAAATGAAGAGGGGGGTGATGGTCGATCAGCTCCCATTGTTAAGCTTGGAGATGCCTCAATGGCATCACCATTTACTGCAAAGCATGCCTCGGTTGCCCCTACAACGGATGTAATCCGTCAAGGTCGAAGTACCCTGGTCACTACCCTACAAATGTTCAAGATTCTCGGACTCAATTGCCTTGCAACTGCCTACGTCCTGAGTGTAATGAATTTGGACGGTGTGAAACTAGGTGATGTTCAAGCTACAATTAGTGGGGTTTTTACAGCTGCTTTCTTTCTGTTCATTTCGCATGCTCGTCCTCTTCCTACCCTCTCAGCTGAACGGCCTCATCCCAATATCTTCTGCTCTTATGTCTTCCTCTCTCTCCTAGGACAATTTGCAGTTCACCTTTTCTTCTTAATTTCTTCCGTGAAAGAGGCTGAGAAGTACATGCCAGATGAATGTATCGAACCGGACTCAGAGTTCCATCCCAACCTTGTGAATACAGTTTCGTACATGGTGGGCATGATGCTACAGGTAGCCACGTTTGCTGTGAACTACATGGGCCATCCTTTCAACCAAAGCATCTCGGAAAACAAACCATTTTTGTATGCCCTTCTGGCTGCTGTTGGCTTTTTTACAGTTATAACCTCCGACTTATTCAGGGATTTGAATGATTGGCTGAAGTTAGTCCCTCTGCCAAGAGCATTGAGAGATAAACTGATGATCTGGGCTTGGTTCATGTTCCTTTGTTGCTACACGTGGGAAAGATTTTTGAGATGGGCCTTCCCTGGTAAGATGCCGGCTTGGAGGAAGCGGCAACAGCATGTTGCTGCAACCATAGAAAAGAAGAGCCTATAAGCATGTTGAGAGGGATAGTGTTATCAACAGAACAGATAAGAATTGACATACTTCTTTGCCAGAGGTAGTAGCTTCGTAGGTTATGATGCTTCACTTTATGTAGCTTTATTGTCCAAGTTCTTAAATAAATGAAGTTTTAACTGAATTTCTCACAATTTTTGCAGTCACATAGAGCAATGAGATAAATCCCTTATGGTACTTTCACTCTCTCCTACTCTCTGGTTGAGCAGCCTTGCCTTCAGAAACAATGATTTACATTCTACATTTGATTCGTTACGGATGAGAAACAATACATTTACGGATACGTGGACTTGTCTAGTAGACAATTGGTGCCACATAACGTTTGCAAAATAGCTGTAACATTCAAATAATGTGTTCGCGAGTATTTTCAGGTCACTCCCTGGAAAATGAAGCTACGTATGCAACTTGCTTTGATACTGAAGAACAGATTTTGATGGTTGGCCAACATGAGTGAAATTCATGGAACCGAGAACTCTCTATTTGGTGTACCTAAAGTAAATACCTATTTTATCTTTTTATCTGATCCTGATGAAGTTTAAGATCCTGGATACATTCCTTAAAACAAATACCACAATTGCATATTGCAGTTGTAGATTCATTTATCAGTGATACCTTGATTAACTTGGATTTTCCTAAATTGCCAATTAGTGGATGTTGCTCTAGTTTGCTATAAGCCAACAAATTGCTTCAATATCATCTTGATGGCTTTTGAAAAGTTCAAAGTTGCTTCTAAAATTAAGAGACTACTTTTAAACATCCTTGTGTAATTTTTTGAAAATGTTGTCTGATTAAAAGAGTTATTGAAGGAAATTGAACTGAGGTAGCTTTCTTGTAACGCTTTTTAACAAAAAGCACAGGTCCTCTCAATCGGGCACTGAAGTTCACCAGATGCAAAGGTCATAACGTGTTAAACCTGTTGCAAAAGAGTTTGATATCCATTGAGTGAAAAAAGGACTATACATTTGTAATTCCCAAGGCAGTCTCAATCTAAGAAAATAAAAGCCAACTTATTCTGTCATTACCATTGAACAATAGAGTTTGTATACTACATTTATAAAATATAATTTTAATGTAATATAATTTATAAATATTTACATAATTAAGTATGTCAAATTCCCTAAAATCATCTGAAAAGAAATAGAAGCAAATTTCTTCATGATTCATATTCCAAATATTCTTTGGGATTTGCCGAAGTGAATAGAACTAAGATAATCGATTGTCATGCCAGATGCTGGAAGGTAAAATCCTAGCCAGAAAGAGGCTCATTCAGAGAACAGTAAAGTTTAAGATGCTTTCTTTGACTTAAATATTTTGGCACAGAAAACGTAGACCACCATGTTGACGAAGCTGAGTCCAGCCAAGAGCCAATAGAAGTAATCAAGATGACCCTTGTTCAAGTTATCCGGAATCCACCCAGGATTTCCCCCTCGGGTTGTTAAAGATGTGACTACTGTCAGAATAAATGAGCTCAAGTAATTTCCCAAAGAATTTGTTAGCAATGAAAAGGCACTACACAAACTGCGCATGGCGTCTGGTGATTGGTCATAGAAGAACTCGAGTTGCCCAATAATAGTAAAAACTTCAGCGGCCCCCAGCAAGAAATATTGAGGTATTTGCCAGAAAATACTCAATGGTACGGAAACATTTTCATCAACCAAACCGAGCTCTCTTGCAAGCCGCAGTCGCTTGATTTCAACAACAGCAGCAGCTGCCATGCACAAGACTGAAATGAAGAGGCCTATTCCCATCCGTTGCAATTCTGAGAATCCCCTTCCCTGGCCAGTAACCTTTCTAGCAATGGGTACAAGGACCTTATCGTACACTGGAACCCAGAAAATAACACTGATGACGTCGAAAGTAGAAAGAGCGGCTGCAGGAATAGTAAAGGAACCAATCGAAGTGTCCATCACCATGCCTTGCTCTACAAACATGGTTGACATTTGAGCATAAACAGCGTAGAAGACTATTCCTGTAACCCAAATGGGAAACATGCGTATCAGAATCTTTAATTCTTCAACCTGTGTTACAGTGCAAAGCTTCCAAGGATTAGAATAGTCCCCAGTTTTGCTTTCAGCCTCCGAGACTATAGCAGCTTTATCAAGGCACCTACAAAAGTAGAACGCCGTAAGGAGATGGGAAACTTTTCTAACATAATTTCAACAGAATCACAATCTGAATTACATAACTTGGAAAATGAAAACATAACAATTACATGCTAGTAAACTTGACATGATTAAAATGAAGGGCCAGCAAAGTCGGCATACCAAATTTTGCCTAGGTTTAGGCCTCAAGTTTGATAGTGGATTCCCTGAACCTCCAGCTTATAAAAATGAAATTTTTAATGTAAATTCAAATTATTATGGAATTAAAGATCACTAAGAAACATAAACTAAGCCACAGTTTGATGACCATCATTGAGAAAAAATGACGTTTTGAATAGTAATTTTTCGGAGAATGTGTGGTTAAAAAGCAGAGAAAAGTTTTGGATTTACGTGCGAAATATTTTATTGTGTGAATTTGTGGTTAGAAATGAGCATGAAAATTAAACAGTTCTATTTTAAGGGGAGACACAACAGGGGCTAACAAGTCTTATTAGCATAGCCTTCACCAGATAGCTGAATCTTCACAGAATGTCCTTCAATTCTCCACTGTTATTGAATGAAGTCAGGAGCTTTTGATTTGTTAGAATCCTATTTTCCAGAAAAATACCCAAGCTAAAAGATATGATTTATTTGGCCAATATAAAATGTGTAACTACAAACGGAAGGGGTCTCGTTTCAAATAGATATGTATAAATGTATTCATAGCATATGTTGCGAGTTAGAAATTTTCTCACACAATATTAACTAAGAGGACTTAGCCATGCCCAAGATAATTTGTTCTTTTTGCTTTCAGAAACAAATAGCATTTCAATCTCAAAAGGCCTATTCAACTAAAATTACCATTTACTGATTAGTTGTTAAATAGTTTCCAGTTAGCAATCATGTATTAAGCAATACTAAAAAGGTAAAGGGGGAAAAGTATAGATATATGACCATGACACGGGAAGAAGATATGTATACCAAACAGTTGGAGAACGCCATTCAAATTAAAATGTTTAAATAATGTAAAATTGGCTTTTTTTCCAGAATAATAAAAATTTCCCTCCACACCACCACTATGATATACATGCATCTGGCAGCCAAGCTAGAGGATGTGATGCAATATATTTCCTGCCCTTCAATTCCACCATTTTCCAATTATGGTCCGTACAATTACTCTTAAATGACTGAACAATAAATATAATTTTTCCCTCAGGAAAAAGTAAAGGCGTAAAGGGGAAGAATCTAAGGGAAATAAAGCAGGGCTAAAAGGTTCGAGAAGAAATTAGATGTACTGTAAGAACCTTACTTTAGTTCATCAGTGTGCAGCAGTTTTCTACTTCCTTCAATAGCAGAGCTTTTATCTGGCGTCTCATACAGGAGACTACTCTCAGTAGGGACAGTCAAATTCCATTTGTGGCACGATGCAACCAAAACCTGGCACATTCTGGTAATAGGACTTCCTCCTGGCTTCTGATATCTGTAGAGAGAGGTGCCTGAAAAGAAACTCACTATGGCAATGCCCATAAACACTGCAGGAATGCCAAATCCAAGGCCCCATCCTGCATTATCTTGAATCCACACAATTAAACTACTTGATATCAAAGCACCAATGTTGATGGAAAAATAAAACCAATTGAAAAAAGAACCCTTCTTAACCCTCTCTTCAGGATCAGTATCATCAAACTGATCAGCCCCAAAAGATGAAACACAAGGCTTGATCCCTCCTGTTCCAAGTGCTATTAGATATAGCCCAAAGAACAATACTGCATACTGAGCTGGAGTTGCTGAAGGGCAAACGGAATCCAGACATTCAGCAGGCTTAAAAGCAGGAACAGATGCAGACAGAGTTAATGTGCACATTCCCTTCACAGACAAATTAATATCAAGGATCAAAAGAAGGTAAGAGATTGATGAACCAAAGGAAACAATAAATCAATAAGAAAAATACAATAGGAAAAAGACTCGTGTACTCCTGGTGCACGTAGAATAACCTATGTTATGTATTATAGTTCAAACTAGGATATCCAAATTTGCATTCAGAATGTCATTGATTTCAGTCCCTTCTTTTGGGTAAAATATAGAGCTTTATAACTCAAAACCATAAGCATCAAGATTAACATTGTTTTGAGATGCAAAGCTCAAAGTAGAAGGAGCATCAATGTCCTTATAGAGTTATTTCATCATTTTCTTCACTTCGTTTATCATGTCAAATTAACTCGCGTCCATTCTTTTTGTCCTCTTAATGTTTCATCATGACTTCAAGCAAGCTTTTACGGTACATTGCTGTCTCTTTGTCACATTGTTCTTTCTAATTGATAAGGTACAATATGTTATCCCCCAAATAATATATAACCCTTGTTTGGTCCCCATTATTTTCAAATTACATTTTTCTCTCTATTATTTTCAACCGTACATTCTTCAATAAAATAATATTACATGCAAATCCAAAATTTTTCCTTATTTTTTAACCACATATTCTCCATCATTATACTATTCCAAAATGCATTTTGGGCAAAAAAAAAAAAGAGGCCCAAACAGGTTCATAATTCTGCAACATCCTAAAAATTCATGTCTTCAAATACCACGTTCTATTAGGTTAGAATAACTGGTGCTGTAAGGAGAGAGATTGAACTTTGAAGAAAGGAAATAAAGATTAAGTTTTTATACCAGAGATAAGATGTTCTCCAATAAAGCTAAGAGAATGTGCTACGATGTCTTATGAAGTACCATTCGCTATGCAGACTGTTTTCCTATTAAAGTAATTGTGATAAAGGTGCATAAAGAGAAGAAAGAGGACATGATCACGTGGATTTTTTCTATTTATACAAGAATAACATGGGTGAATATCTATTTCTCTTCCTAATTTTGGAGGTAGGGACCAAAGAAGTGTTGTACATGGAGTCCTTAAGCTGTCAATGGCCATTTAGCCCCCGTTTGACACCCATTAATTTCTCTTTCTATTTCTCATTCTCATTCTCATTCTTCATTTCAACCACACATTCTCCTAATAAAATAATATTACACACAAATCAAAAACTTTTCATCACTTTTCCACCACACATTCTCACATCAATCACTATTCCAAAATTTCTATTTCTCCCAAAATGGGTTTCAAACAGGGGCTTAAGCACAAATAATCAGATCATGCAACCATATACTGCCAGTGATATTTTCATATAGAGAGTAATTGGAAAGATGAAAAACAAAGAGGAAGTAGTACAATAAAGTATATAGTGGAGAAGACAGCAATTGTCCAATATCTTCCCCAGTAAGCATCTGCCAAGACAGCCCCAATCAGGGGAGTTAGGTAGCAAGTGCCTTGCCACGTGGTGACATTTCTAGCAGCAGAAACATTTCCTTCATGTAAGTTTTTGGTAAGATAGCTAACAAGATTGGTAGCAATCCCGTAGTAGGCCAAGCGTTCACAACATTCAGTCCCTGTCAATTCAAGAGATTAGCGATCGAATGTGCACATATGCCTAAAAGGTAAAAGGAAAAATTATAGGGTGGATACCAAGAATAAAAGGGCATGCTCTCCAATTTCCAGTGTTTCTTTTTAGAACAGGGTTCCCCTTAATGTCAACAGAACCATCTCCAGTGTAGAGTTCGTTTCTTTCATTCTAAAAGAATACAGAAAATGTGAGACAGTGGAAACCTAACGAGAACCTGAAAAATATAAGAAATGAGAAATAGCCAAAGACAACCAACATTAAAGTAACAATATGCAAAATTCATAATGTTAAGAGTTTCTCTCTGTGTTAGTGTGTGTCTGCATCCAAGAGCATATACATAGGGAAATGACTTTACGCTAATTAATCATTTGATCAATAGTGTTTCAATGCAAAAATTCCTTATGGGGGTGAACTGTGCAAGAGCACGGACTTATGTGACGTGATTTGATAAGACATTAGAAAAAATTTCTATGAACTTATGTTGCTCTCTAAGGACTTACTTCAGCTTGAAAAAGTCAGGAGTATTGCATACAACCACAGAGCCTAAAAGATAAACGACATAAACATCCTCCAATATTCAATCCAAGACTCTATCGAGGTAGGGACGTGTCGTTGTCCAAGAATCAGAATATACAATAGTAGTACTCCCCTCAGTATAATTTTTGTCTAGAAGAAATAACTGTAAAAGAATGTAATCAAGCCCTTGTATCATAATTACAATTGATTCAAACTCTTCCACGAGAAAAAAGCATATGCCTAGGTATTAGGTACTTAGGTTCGATTATTAATAAGGAAAGATGAATTAAAATAGATATAACACATATGATTAAAGCGGGTTATATGAAATGGAAAGCGTCGCTTGAATGCCGTGTCATATCCCTACAAAGTTAAACTGACAAATCTACACAATAGTCATTAGACTTGCTGTGCTTTTTTACTGCACGTTGGAATGTTAAATGAGAAATTTTCCATGAGATGAACGAAGCACAAAGAGGATACAAAGATAATTATGTTGTCAAACTAAAATGGACAAGATAAGAAATAAAAATATATGCCAATAACTAGAGGTAGTGCCAATTGAGAATAAGATAGGGGAGAACGATCTCCACAATTGGGTCATATTTTGAGTTAACCTAAAGAGGATATTTTTATAAGAGTGATGTGATCTTAATATTATAAGTGGGTAGGTAAATGCTAATGATCTAGTTGCGTTGTTCAGGTAGAGGTTCCCTGGTAAGTTTAGGGGAAAAAAAAAAATTTAAGCGAAGCCACTATCTCCATAAGACAAAATGAGAATTTTCCGGAGATCCAAACGAGAAAAACAACCATCTGCTAAAGCATTCTCACAAAGTTTAAAAACATAACTGATGATTGGTGAATGAATCTTTTTCTTTCAGTGGAAGTCTAAACTCAATAATCTGACGTAAAGCATGACTTTTGGCATGACATGCTACTTGCTAGCCAAATGCACAGAGTGCAAATCCAAGTTGCACAGTGAAAGGTTAGTTTCATTAGATTGAATTAACTGAACATTGTGAAGAAACAACCTCAAATACAACTAATCCAGCAAAAGCGAGAAGTACAAAATCTGGCCTAATTCATCCATGAGCTGTAGGCTTACTATAAAAAAGCTTCTTATTGCACTACTGCTCTGGAAAGCGCAAAAGTGATTTGGAAGAAACGAAAAACCAGAAGAAACGGAGAGACAAAATAGAAGGATGAGTATTGTTGGACATCTATCATTTATCTTTATCTCTAGTTCATATGCAAAATAATGTCAGACGAGAAGCTGCAGATTTTAGACAATTTGGCCATAACTAAATCTAGTGCTTGTTTGGGATAGATTAAAAAGTCGAGGTCAAATTCAACGGCTAATTTTAACCACACATTTCATGGGACCCACAACTTTTATTAACTTTATAACCACATCTTTTATCAAAATATATGCTAAAAATTTTATCAGGATCTTTGTCAATCAACCCCTTATAAATTTATCAGCAGTGGTTGTCGAAAACCATCCAGCGGCAACACTTTGACAACCATTGCATCACAATAATGATTCGATTCCATGCAATTACTTCAAAGTTTTCCTAGCTACAAAAACTCCAATATAGTCTTCTCAGAATAAAGACTCTCACAAGCTTTCATTTTCCAAAATCTTTAACCAACTAATCAAATGGCTTGTATTTTCAGACTCCAAATTTGCGCTTCCACTGCGCTTGCACGGGTAGGCCATTGCAAAGATCTTGAATGATTTACAGGCAAAAGATGTATTTAACTGTGTATTAAAATGGATTAACTTCATTAAGGTTCTGTTTTACAAACATTATTTAAAAACTATTATTTCTCCCTACTCAGTATAAACCACACATTCATTCTATAAAATATGATGCACATAAACCTAAAATGTTTTCCTTGTTTTACAAACATTATTTAAAAACTATTTTTTCTCCCTACTCAGTTTTAACCACACATTCATTCAATAAAATATGATGCACATAAACCTAAAATGTTTTCCTATTTTTTAACCATAATAATATATTTTCCTAAAAATCACTATTCAAAACATTATTCTTTTATTTTTTTTATGAATAATGGCCAATCAAACAGGGGCAAAACAGCAGGCTTTAATGAATATAAATATCAAATTAATTCTGTTCTCTTCATATTTTGACAGATCTGATAACAACTCATTTAGATCAAAAATGGAGTTATCATGAATTTATGATCCTTGAATCTACACTTCTTTCAACGTCCACGCTACTTGTCCAATTTTCTTAGCAAACTGTAACATTTGAATGGCCCAGAAAATGTAGGCCATGAATTTTTGCATTATTCAGAATTTTTTCCACTTAAAACATATCAAATATTTCTATTCGTCAACACTCAATAATAATGAATTAAATGACCCAACCTGTGTTCAACAAAATTAGAATATCAATTCAATTTTCCTTCCTTCACCCAATCAACTTCATAAAACAGAAGCTCCAAACGGAACTTGTCAGAGTTTAAACTTATAAATAGTTTTAAATTCTCAACACGTTCCGTTTCCTTATTTTAAAGGTTTATTTTATTTGTTGTGGTTAAGATTAAGATTGGAGGTCTTTTAATCCAACAAATTAGATAACCATAATACAGCAACGAAACGCCAATAAAAAATATAAGTAAGAAATATTAAGTCGTAATGAATATTTTCAAGGAAAAAAAAAAACAAGAAAATAATTTTATCCGTCAACAATATGCAATGAAAGGATGAAAAAAGACCTCTGCAAATCCCTGTTCCAAGAGCAATCTCTCTTCTTCGTGAGTACCCATACAGCTGCAAGCTATCTCTCTTTAATTTTACGAAGTAATCGGAATGTTTCAGATCCACGAAACAAAAGATTCAAGGAAAAATGGGATCGAAGTCGAGTTGGAGTTGCTTCTCTATGAAGTATTTATTGAAGTTGGGGTAACACACTCCAAATTACAAAACCATCCAAACAAGTTTGCTAGGAATGATCCAAGTGGGGACCTAAAGGGAATTCGTAGATGGAGACAAAAGAGATTTTGTTCGTGTTTGGCGAGAATTAAAATTAGATTTTTAATAGATTGTGATAGAAGTTTTTGAAATATGTGATTGAAAAGTAGTAGAATTCAGCTAATATTGATTGTTTGACTTTAAGTTTTTAACTTATATTAAAATTTAATTTTAATTCAAAACAAACAGAGCCTATATGGATAATTATAATTGTACATAAACTGTTTGTTTAAGGAAGATATAATTCATTATTTTTAACCTAAGTGTCGGACGAACGAACAGAGGTAAATGATAAGGACCAAACTTGTTATCGAGGTTCATTGAACTTTACCTCGTGTTTTTTAATGATTATTGAACGTTAAAATATTTCTTTATGGTCGCCGAGCTTTCCCTCATGATTCTCCTTCTCCATATTTTATATGAGAGCATAAATTTCACAACACAACTATTTTCCATTTAAGAGACTTGACATTCCACAACTATTTTCTATTGATTGAATTTTATTGGACATGGGATATAACAAATCCAACAATTCATTCTACTATACTATACTCAAAAGTTAAAAGAATGAGACGATAATCAATTCTCAACAATATGTATAAATTTTATTCAAGGCTACATAATTCTTGAATTGAATTAAAGAAATCCGAACATATACAAGGGGGTAAAAAAAAAATTATACAAGGAAATAGCCTTTTAAATCAAACCAAATTGTGAATAACAATTACATTTTTTGATTGAGTTAATTGGTTTAGATAATAAATAAGTTTCTCTTATAATGTAAACTTAAGATGAGTACGCACATTCATCATATTACGACATGGGACTAAAAAATGAAGCACACAAAGTCCAATTGGTTATGATCGGTGATCGATAACCAATTGAACCTACAAGGGTTGTTCAGCTACAATCCAACTCGTTCTAATAGATTAAAAGTTCAATTAATGTTAGCACATCACTTGAAAATTCCAACATGAAAACGTGTCAATGACAAGACGGGATTGTTCCATGGAGAAACACTTCCAAAAAATTCAGTGACAATGGAGAAATATTTTAAAGCTTAACGACCATCTAATAATAAAAACGAAAAGTTGAGTGACCATTTGAGAACACGATTTGTCCTATTTAGACAAATTTACTAGCTTTGATATGTCGCGTAAGATTTTTATTTGTCATGTCAGCAGGCCCTTCTATGGAATCTATCTGAATGATGGACGTGTATCACGTTCCGAAGTTGAATGACCATAAGATGAAACTTTGAAGTTCACTATTGTTTTGTACACGTTTTATAAATAACTAAGCATTCCTCATATAACCCTCTTGAACCTCTCCTGTGGATGAGGCATTTCTACTTGTGTGTTTATTTTGAAATTTTTATAGTACTTACTCAACGAGACAAGCGCCTTCGGGTGTTTTTTTTTTTGGCAGAACAATAGAAACATAAGAAAGAAATTAAAAAAAAAGATGTGTTTCTTCAAGAGAAGGAAAGTAGAAACTTCATTGAAATTTCAGAATAGTTACATATTACAATAGGAGAAAGGTGAGGGAAGCTGCATGTTGGGTCGGCAAAGAAAGCCTAGTTTAGATTAATCTGGGGATTGTCAGCTTGTGTACCTTGGATATATACCGGGCGAAACTTTACCCCCAGAAAGTCGATGTTCCAATCTAACTGAACTCTTTGAATACGTTCAAGCACCTCTTAGTTTTCATGACTTGTGAATTGTTCGTAAAATTTCGCAAGTATACGGATCGTGACAAGTAATAAAATGGATTTATTAAGTTTAAATATCGTCCCACAGAGACTATTATTTGCTATAAATTTTTAAACTAACGTAGCTTTAAAATTAATGATCAAATCAAATTTTATTTTCTAAACGAAATTTTAATAAATAAAATAACAAACTCGAATTAAAACTGAAGATAAGATTATGTGATTAAATAATTAAGATTTCCTCGATTTCACTTAGCTTATTTATCATACATTTAATTCCAATTCATTCAATCATTTTCATACGTGTCAACAATCAAATAACATATTGTACTTCATGATCTCTCTCAAGAAATACTAATCTTATTCATATATTCGAATTTACTATATATATATGTGTGTGTGTGTGTGTGTGTGTGTGTGTGTGTGTGTGTGTGTGTGAATTCACACACATATGAATGCATTTATCTATAGGAATTCAACATGGATCACATATCCTATAATTATCTCTCGATTTCTTATAATGTTTGAGTTAATTATTGCACGAGTTAGAATTATACATCACCTGTCAGTCTCAATATTACCCTTAAATCAATTAATTGTTGCGCAAACAATTAATAGCATTAAACACACAATAATTATTTAACAAGTATTAAAATGGCATGAACATCTTGAAATTAAACATATAATAAAAACCTTAAACTACACTATCAATCATAACAATAAAAATATTTAATCACTCATAACGTTGAAATTAAACACGCAAAAGTGGAAAGACATCACCAAAATTTGACGAAACATTAAGCTTCTCTTTTGTGCTGTCTAATTCCATTTATTTGCGTATACATAAATGAATTTCAGCCTCAGTTTTTCTTAATTTTCAGCCACCAATTTGCGTCCATTGTGTGCGTGTGTAATCTACGCAACAGCATGGGCGGACCCAGGGGTCCTGGGGGGCAGATGCCCCTCCTCAACTTTTGAGATTTTTTTTTATATAAAATCACGTTTAGTATCGATTGAAATTTTAATTTTAATTTAAATCAAAGTTAACAATTAATTTTAATAATATATTTCATGGAATCATAACTGTTTAATTTTTACCA